ACATATATATATATATATATATATATATATAATTTTTTTTTTTTTTTTTTTTTTTTTACTGTAGGCAAGAGATTATACCATTGTTGCGATTTGCTGAAAACCTTGTAGAAACATGCTTTACACCAGAAACCTGGTTAGACAGCCCTGTACAAAACAAGTTGTCAACTACATTGTCAGCCAAAGCGTCTACATGAAATCTAAATCTTTATACTCACTGCTGAGTAGTGAATGTCAAGACATTGCATAATAATGGCTTTACCTGTGTCGTTAGGTCACGAAAGCAGTATAAAGTAGTAAATTAATGAGTAATACAGGGTTATTGAGAAATACAGAAATGTTGTGGAACATGCAATAACCAGCAAAACCAGAAGTTAGTAAGACAAATGTTTCTTTAAATCCCCAACAAAGTCTAATTATTGACAGAAAACTACACTAGCAATAGTAATAAAATCACTTGCTAATAAATACAACTAAACAACTAAATTGGGTATTTAAATATCTTTAGAGATCAGCACAACAAGGAACACTTGTGTAGGTCTCTCAACTAAATCATCAGATAAGATCTGCTGTCTAAATACAGAATAGTACGCTGTGGAACTTTCCAGAAAAAAAAAACCTGTAAACCTAGAAAAAGATTTGTAACGCTCTAAACCTCTGAAAGAACAGAACAAAGTCCATTACAACAAAATGGCAAAAAACATGGCACAATCCTAAGCCTACTAAGAGGCTTTTGTACCAAATAACTCAATAAGATGGACAATTGTCAGAGAAATGAACAAGACCCGAACAGTTGCAGAGCTCTTTGGGTGAGATAAGAGAAACTCTCAAAAATCTCTTTATAGACTCTTTGGGGGAGTGGAAAGAAGGAGGCCACTTCTGGGCAAAGCCTGAAGCAACTCAGTTCACTATAGGCAATGTGACAAAAACATTATATAGTAAGATTACAGTTGACTTCTGCACTTTTTTGGACTTAAACCAAAGCATGGTGGTGGCAACATGATTCAGGATTCCTAAGCTGAATCAGTTTTGGGGATTACGCTTTAAAAAAAAAGCAAAAGACATTTACACCAAAGTATGCATAAATATTGTCTCATACACTATTTGTGAAGGAGAAAGTGGTCATCTATAGCCACTGCTGAGTAGTGAATGTCAAGACATTGCATAATAATGGCTTTACCTGTGTCGTTAGGTCACGAAAGCAGTATAAAGTAGTAAATTAATGAGTAATACAGGGTTATTGAGAAATACAGAAATGTTGTGGAACATGCAATAACCAGCAAAACCAGAAGTTAGTAAGACAAATGTTTCTTTAAATCCCCAACAAAGTCTAATTATTGACAGAAAACTACACTAGCAATAGTAATAAAATCACTTGCTAATAAATACAACTAAACAACTAAATTGGGTATTTAAATATCTTTAGAGATCAGCACAACAAGGAACACTTGTGTAGGTCTCTCAACTAAATCATCAGATAAGATCTGCTGTCTAAATACAGAATAGTACGCTGTGGAACTTTCCAGAAAAAAAAAAACTGTAAACCTAGAAAAAGATTTGTAACGCTCTAAACCTCTGAAAGAACAGAACAAAGTCCATTACAACAAAATGGCAAAAAACATGGCACAATCCTAAGCCTACTAAGAGGCTTTTGTACCAAATAACTCAATAAGATGGACAATTGTCAGAGAAATGAACAAGACCCGAACAGTTGCAGAGCTCTTTGGGTGAGATAAGAGAAACTCTCAAAAATCTCTTTATAGACTCTTTGGGGGAGTGGAAAGAAGGAGGCCACTTCTGGGCAAAGCCTGGAGCAACTCAGTTCACTATAGGCAATGTGACAAAAACATTATATAGTAAGATTACAGTTGACTTCTGCACTTTTTTGGACTTAAACCAAAGCATGGTGGTGGCAACATGATTCAGGATTCCTAAGCTGAATCAGTTTTGGGGATTACGCTTTAAAAAAAAAAGCAAAAGACATTTACACCAAAGTATGCATAAATATTGTCTCATACACTGTTTGTGAAGGAGAAAGTGGTCATCTATAGCCACGCTTGTTGTGATGCCAAGACATAACAGAATTATGAATCCCTAACTTGTTCCTCTATCTTCTATTTTAGCCTGCTAATCTCTCTTTGTCAGTATTATCAGATGACCCGCCTTCATATGAATAGTATGGAAAATCACTTGTGACTCATTGCATTTGTAGGTGTTTCTCTGTGTGTATTAATGTGTCTAAGAAGAGATGATACCCTGCAGTCACGTGAGTCATGAGGGTAAGTTGGAAACAGTAATATGATTAAAAACAGCCCATAACCTATAAACAGCAAAGATTAGCCTTTTATTTATAAGCTTGCCAGAGCTTCAACAGCATTATTTACACACCGGTATCAGCAACCGCAATCTCTAAATCACACATGAGCTCCTATTCCCATTCTGTTTTAACCTCACTGTCTGATAGCAGCCAATAACATTGGCTGGATGTTTGTGATGTCATTAGTATACATTCTGTTGCTAGAGTTGCTGTTGGTCCAAAGTGGTTAGCAGTGCAGTTCTGGTCATTAAAACTCTCTATAAAAGACAAACAATTAGAGTAGAACAACATGAGAATTCCCATAAGAGAAATGACAAATGAGATGTTGGTTTTTATCCTACAGAGCAATAATACTAAATCTTGTGAAAAAGTATTTGAATATGGTTTGTTTCAAATGGAGACTAATTTAAAGGGGTCATATGATGCGATTTCAAATTTTTCTTTCTCTTTGGAGTGTTACAAGCTCTTGGTGCATAAATTCGTTGTGAAAGTGAAACTACTTTGTTTGGCCTTCCAAAAATGGACCCGACTAGAAATCAGTGGTTAAGTTGTATTTACAACACTGTTCCAGAACACTTTAACCCAAATATTCAGATGTGTGCAGCACATTTTATGGAGGACTGTTTACTGATCCTGGTAGAGTAGACTACAATGCCGGCTGTTCTGACTCAAAGACTGTAAGTATGTTTTTTATATTTAAAGAGTTTTTATATTTTATATATTTAAAGATAATTTTTTTGGGCAGTGTAGAGTAGGGCTTGTTGTTTGTCATTTCTCCGATCACAAATGCAGACATGGTTTTATGTTTACGCGGCACGATGCAACGCAATGCGTAAAAAGACAGTAGAAGTCATTATAATCCATAATTATGTCCCCACTGGATGCAACGAATGCCTCGTTTATAATGGGTTTTCATGTTTTTGAATCATTGCTCCGGCCTGACAGGGCATCATCACAATATGGTAAGGGGCGTAACATTTCCGTCACATGCTTGAGGTATTTGGCCAATCACAACGCACTGGATAGCTGGCCAATCACAGCACACCTTGCTTTTTCAGACCGATGAGCTTTGTAAAAATCGACGCGTTTCAGAAAGGTGGGGCATAGAGGAGAAACAATAATGTACAGTGTGTGGAAAATAATTAACCTTAAACCACATTAAACACATTTCATTACACCAAATACACAAAATAATGTTATTTTTAGCAGCATCATATGACCCCTTTAATACCTAAATTAAAGAAACATAACTGGCAAGCCCATTATGTCTCCTGAGCTATGAAAGAGCAACCTCTGAGCAACAACAATTTACTACAGCTCTGAGTGATTCTGAACCCTGAAGCTAAGAAATCCTTTCTAGGTCATTTTCTTGGCCTTTTACGCCAAACATGTGTGTGCACACATGCGTTACAAGGTATTCTTAATGTTAAAAAGTGAAAAGGGCACTACAGTGACAATGAATGTTAAATGGGGAATACATTTTAAAAGGGTTCAGCACAAATTCTCAGAGCGCAATCAGTTGAGCCATTGACCAAGTGATAATCTGCAAATAATGTCTGTACACACTCAAGCTGAGGAAGGCATAACAGGGTCAACTCCCTGAGTAGCGATGGCTAAGGATGCACAGGGAGAAATCCCGGCATCTTTGCGTCATCTCAGGTGAGCGGCTCATTATCACATCCAGTGGGGTGCTCCTACGAGCAAGTACAAATTATGTTCTCCTGAGACACACAACAAATATACTCATCTGCCTACAAACACACACACACACACACAGAAAGCGTGTGAAGGCTCCAAAAGCTGCTGTGCACAGCAGGAGATTCCATAAAGGGCAATTAAATTGCATGCAATTTCACAGGAAAGAAGAACCACAAATGAGATTCTCATTAATATCTCTGTCTCCCTAAAAGCCTAATATATATATATATATATATCAATTTTTTTAAACGACAATATATGTGTACATGTGTGAATGCATTTTTTTTAAAGAGAATTTCTGTAAACTCAAGTACTCTAGGTACAATAAAAAATGTAGTTCCTCTTCACTTGTTAGTGACCTACTTGACAATTTAGAGCCAGTAATGATGAAAACTCAGCACTTGTTTCATTTTTTAGAGAGACAAAATTGCCTCAAGTGTTTTTCTGGACTATATACTCGTTTCTCATAATATATTATTTATCACTGTTTGTAAATATAAGCCTGCATAACTCACTCGTTGTGCAGATGTTTCTGTGACTCTTCAGTGAAAACTCCTTTGACCTTGACCACTGACATTCAATCGCTGCTGCAGCATTGTCATGGCAACCTTCTTCAAGCTCGGTAGGAGGCAGTCACATGAAGAGGTTTGTCCCTCTTATCATCAGCATCAACACCATCCTAGACTGGTTGCCTTATACAAACATACAGCTGCCATTCCTGTACTAATCGATTCTGTAAGTTTACTTCATACTAGGTACATTCGTAAATCTTTATTTTAAGGTTACAGGTTTGTCTGCATGGTAGCTCTAACAATCTGTGCTCTTTCTTTCTTTCTTTTTAGCCTTTAGTGTAGTATACTAGAGCTAGAACGGCTAATGATGTGGAACAGAATTGGAAAATGTCACAAGCTAAATTTGAACTTGTACTACTCAATGTGTTAGGGGGTTGAAGGTCCAAATTGCAGTTTCAGTGCAGCTTCAAAGGGCTCTACACGATCCCAGCTGAGGAATAAGTGTCGTATCTAGCGAATCGATCAGTCATTTCCTAAGAAAAAAAATGTATATACCACATATGCTCATCTTGCAATAGCTCTGCAATTACGTAATCACATTGGAAAGGTAACGCATGGTTAGTTCCGTGTCTGTGTACTTCAGTTCAGAAAGGTAGGGTAGGGCGAAAATCTCCATCTCATTTTCACCCCCAACTTCAAAATCGTCCAACATCGTGGCTTTACCTTTTTTGGTAAAGGGCGTTTGACTTTCTTTGCAAGTTCGCTTTGTAATCAGTGGGTCGGTACTTCCACCTCCGTCATGAATGCGTGATTATGTATACATTTTTTTTTTTTTTAGAAAATGACAGATCGTTTCGCTAGATAAGACCCTTATTCCTCAGCTGGGATCATGTGGAGCCCTTTGAAGCTGCACTGAAACTGCAATTTAGACCTTCAACCCGTTGGCCGCCATTGAAGTCCACTATATGGAGAAAAATCCAGGAATGTTTTCCTCAAAAGCCTTAATTTCTTTTCGACTGAAAGAAAGAAAGACATGAACATCTTGGATGACATAGGGGTGAGTAAATTATCAGGTAATTTTTATTCTGGAAGTGAACTAATCCTTTAAGCATTACAAATGAGAATTATATAAAAAACACATCTATTACAGACCAGTGAAATATAATATGTCCATTATATATATAAGCTGTCGATTATATATCTATTGAAGCCATATAGATAAGTTTATTGCAAAACATGTATATATCCAAATATTTGAGAGTAGGGATACCGACACGATTGCATCGTTCACACTTCTTGAGAGTGGGCGTTCTCTGTAAGCTCTTTTGGCATGAAATGCCCGCTGCAACTCTCTGATTGGTGGAATTTTCTGTATAAAAATCATGGGTAATGTTGTTTAGTACCTCGAATTCCACTGTTAGTTAAAAACAGTTTAAAAATAAGTTTAATACGAACAGAGGGCTTCAACAAAAGCATAGACCATTGATTACCAACATGTCTGTTTTTAAAAGTTATCACTAAAAATCAACTTGGCTATGTTTTTTACTTCTGGAACCTGACTAGTGTGCTCTACTTCCTAAGCGAAATTACCTTGGCTACTAAGTAGATAGGATAAGATTCTAAGTTAGGATGTTTCTGTAATACAGCCCCAGAATCATAATGAGTAACCACTCGGAAACACCCTAGCTACTAGATAGCAATGCTTTTGCAACCACCTACAATGACCTAGCATCTTGGCTTTTCTTCTAGTTAGCTACATTCCTTCATTATCATTTATGTGAATGTGAGCGATCATTTAAAAAATGCAACAGAGTGAGAATCCAGACAGACCCAGACTTGCCGTTGTTGTGGGTTGACGTAAGGGGAGCGGGGAGAGATGAGCTTCTGATAGTGTTGCTGAACACGCCTTCACTTCCCTCTGAAAGTGACACTGTCACCATGGTTACCAGAAGAGACCATGTCTTCTACATTTTCCACCAAACGTTGGCATGACAAATGGATGCACACATTCTCATGAATATCAATGCAAAACAAGCTATTTCAAAATCCTGTTGGGTTTTAAGTACTGCCCTTGAAGAATCGTCCTTGTCTTTTTTTTGTCTCTTGGAACAGCTCTGACCTGAGCTGGAAGACAAGGATCGGCTGTATCTGTGAAGCCCTTGAGATACATAGGCAACAGCTGTGTCCTCGTGTGTGTGTGCACACACATACACACACATACATACACACAGCTAGATGACCTGAGTGACTGGTCCTTGGCAGAGCCCTATTTTTTTCGTTCATTATTCATTTGTCTGCAATGAGGGGGGAAAATCCAGTCGCCGAGTCTATATTTAAACCTGCCCAGCCCCTGACATATTTATTAATAGCTCCAGTTGGGCAGCTTTGGGATCCTACAAGAGTGCTCTCTTAGAATACACACAAACACACACACAAACCTCAGAGGACGATCCAGCGGACAGCATGTGGCAATATTTCATGCTCCAATTTTTATGCTTTAATTATTACATTATAGACAATTAGAAAAAGCAACAAGATTTCAGCATTTTCTGTTGTCATTTCCACGATGGCAGGATATTTCCGGGTCGTTGCTAAGGTGCTCTGAGTGGTTTGCTATGCAGTTTCTAGAATGCTCTGGTGGTTGCATGGTGGCTGTTTACTGACTCGCAAGTCTCTGTGATGTTCAGATCACTACATTTGACATTGGTTCTTTTTTCAATATATTTTAACATGCACAAGGTAAAAATGGTAAGTCTGATTGTAGGGCCCTATGAAATCCATTTTATTTTCCCCAAAATCCATTTAAATGTTTCTGGATTCCGTTTTTTTCCATTTTTTTTATTAGATTCTGTTTTAATGGTTACATAATTTTTTTAATCAAAAAGCATGTCTAGTTAATTGAAATCATGAAACTTACACAATTTAACAGCAAAAGTTGAACAAAAATTTAATTTTTAAGGCCCTATGAAATACGTTTTATTTTTCTCAAAATATTTTTTATTTTTACCAAATTCTGTGTTTCCCAATAATTTTCTGGATTCCATTTTAATGGTTTCATTAAACTTTTAATATCAAAAACATCTCTAAATAATAGATTTTATATATATATATATATCTATATATATATAGATATATATATAGATATATATATAGATATATATATATATAGATATATAACATATTTATTTATTTTCAGAAATACTGTTGTGTATTTACATTGTTCTGTTAATTACATTTTGGTAAATCATTTTCTGGTAAATATTCCTTAAAATAATGTTTTAATAATCATTTTATCAAGTACTATCAATAGTATCATTCTGTCACAGTTTCTTCAAGTTAAACCAAACTTTTATTTTGACGGATTGTTTTGAAGACCTTTACGTTTCTCTGTTTATATGATATGATGACAATTTTTGTTAAAAGAAACGGTAAAATGCTAATGAAGTGACTCTCAGAGCAGTTTTATAATTAACTTTAACTATAATTTAATTTTAAATTATGTTCATGTACTCATATATTGAGGCGGCAGAGGCTGAAAACCACGAGCGTCACGTGCGCTTCATTATGTGTGTAGTACACGAAACCAACCGCACGTCTGCGCCATTCACTAGCTATGTTTCCATCCAAAGATTCCATTAATTATCTGGATTTTACTTTAATGGTTTCATTAAATTTTAATAATTGAAAGCATCTCTAATTAATTGATATATATATATATCCTGCCTGCCTGCCTGCCTGCTATACTGTGTTGTGTATTTACATTGTTTCTGGTAAATAAATTCTGGCAAATATTTATTTTCTGGTAAATATTCCTTAAAATAATGTTTTAATAATCATTTTATCAAGTACTATCAATAGTATCATTCTGTCACAGTTTCTTCAAGTTAAACCAAACTTTTATTTTGACGGATTGTTTTGAAGACCTTTACGTTTCTCTGTTTATATGATATGATGACAATTTTTGTTAAAAGAAACGGTAAAATGCTAATGAAGTGACTCTCAGAGCAGTTTTATAATTAACTTTAACTATAATTTAATTTTAAATTATGTTCATGTACACATATATTGAGGCGGCAGAGGCTGAAAACCACGAGCGTCACGTGCGCTTCATTATGTGTGTAGTACACGAAACCAACCGCACGTCTGCGCCATTCACTAGCTATGTTTCCATCCAAAGATGCCAATTTAACTTATGTGCAAAACTGGAATATTGCATAAAACATTTGCAAATAAAGCACCGTTTCCATCCAACGAGTCAAAGAGAACAAAATCGCCACTTCCTGATAAACTGACACTAAATATCTAAAAGAAGCCACTGAATATAATAATTTTAATATGTAATAATTACTTGTGCTTCAGAGAGAGCAGACGTAATAAATGCGATCATTGCTTTTAGAGGTGGATGCCTGCTGTTTGGGAACGCCGTCATGTAAGACGGTAATTATACAGAAATATTTTGATGACAGACCTGTCATCTTGCTTTGATTGCTTTGAAAAGTAATAGCACACCTCTCCTCAGTAAGCTGCATTATTTTAAGAATCAGATAGATATTTTGAAGAACCAAACTAACCAAACTGTTTCAGTTCCCATTGACATTGGTCTGGCTGGCAACATGATTCAGAATATCTTCTTTTGTGTTCCACAGAAAGGTTTGAAAGGTGAGTAAATTATGACAGAATTGACATATTCCCTTTAACAGTTAGGTCCCTGACCTGAACATTTTGCCCATTATATCTAATCTCTTATTTGCATGAAATTCAAGAACATCAAATGATAATGAGAAATCAGACACATATCTGTCACAAACATGCATTTACCCATCAGTGACACTTAATTGTCACTCTGAGACACACCTGACCAAACAAACTAGTTCATACATTTCACATAAGATGTTGACACAAAGAATCAAACACAAACCCAAAAAAACAGCGGTACACAAAGTAAACACACGCACAGGCACACATACACACACCACTGCTTATCCTGGCAGAGACAGCTGTGCGTTCAAGCGTCGCACAAGACACAGTTGCTATGGTGACAATGACGACACGCTTTTTAGCATTGCAGGGATGGGAGAGAGAAAAGAATGCATGTGTGCGTGTCAGTGGAAAAGCAGACAGTGGCGAAGGCATGTACGAAAACAAAAACGCAACAAGCTAAAGATGAAAAGTGCAGGCGTGGAGAGCAGCAATGCATCCTAATTTAAAAAGACTAAACCCTTGACAATATGTGCAGTTGGCACGTACCCACCCAAAAGTCAGCTAGCAGCACAACAAATCATGTAATTTGACTCTTGACCTGAATGTTTAAAGTTTAAAGGCAGCGACACCGTGCAACAAAGAGATAGTGTTCGGGATTACACTTAGGTCAAGGGAAAAGGTAATTAAGAGAGGCATACCGCAGCATTCACATTATTTTTTAATGTATCTCCGATTAGTCTCAGTTATTTTCCACATGGAACCTACATTAGCGGTTACACAAGCCTAGCTAAGGCTCATTTACAGGAAACTCTGATATTTGCTGACTTAGTATATAATTTACAGGATACTGAATGTAGTCACATTATTTCATAGCTTTAGCATTTAGTGCAATAAAATGTAAATCAATATAATATCTAGGTATTTATTATCAGACTATCAGCCAGTTCTTTTTAAAGAATATGTACCAAAAGAAAAAAAAATGGCCTGTATTGCAATTGCATGAAACATGCACTATCAGTTTAGTTTACATGTTAGAATTCAGAATTTGTCTTTGTCTTTTTATTTATTAATTTTTATGGTTACACTTTACTTGAAGGGGTGTGCATAAGACTGACATGACACCTTCATAATCATGACATGACACATGTCATGAATATGAAGGAGGTTTTATGCATGTTTATGACAACTGTCATTAAGTGTCATTCGCTCAGTTATGTAATTTTTAATGCAAAGATGACATTGTTTGAGATGTATTTGTTATGGGCTATGGTTAGGGGTAAGGGTAGGGGTAGGGTTAGGTTAGGGTAAGGTCAAATAATGTAATATTTGCATTAAAAATGACATAACTGAGCGAATGACACTTAATGACAGTTGTCATAAACATGCATAAAACCTCCTTCATATTCATGACATGTGTCATGTCATGATTATGAAGGTGTCATGTCAGTCTTATGCACACCCCTTCAAGTAAAGTGTTACCATTTTTATTTTATGTTGTGTTCCTCCTTTAAAAGATAATGGTTGGATCTTTTTTATATTATGTAATACTTTATGATTTAAAAAAATTTTTTTTTTAGAAAGTTTAGTAGTAATATTTTTTATTACTATTTTCACGTGCACTTATATTCCAAAGTTTTGGGTCAGCAAGTTATTTTTTATGATTTTATACATTTTTGTGGAAACTATGATACATTTTTCTGAGATAATTTGCAGAATACAAAATTCAAAAGCACAGCTTTTATTTTAATTTTGTAACCATCTAAAGTAACCACTAAGTATTTACTGTCACTTTTGATTAATGTAATGCATATTTTTGAATAAGAGCATTAATAAAAAATAATTAAAAAATCTTACTGACCATAAAATTTTGAACTGTGGCACTCAATCTTGAGAAAGGCATGTACAATGTCCAGCAGTTGTAAAATATGAAGACCTTCTTTCATAAGCAAGACTTAGAGGGTCATTCTTATCTTGCTCGCTCTTGCATCTGCCTTAGAATCACATACTGGTTTTGATAAACCTTTCCCATCCTTGAGTGCCATTTATTTTGTACCCCTGACCTTTGCTTCCCTGTCACATCCATTCCAGCAGCAATCCAATCTCTGACACCCAGAGAAGGGTCTGCACTAAAGATGCCCTCCGTGCTTCAGTAGGCCTTGTGTAGTGTGTTTTACGGTCATTTCTATTGATTGCACTGACTATAACGTAGCGTGGTGAGAGCTACCTGTCACTATAAACATGACAAGCCAAGTGGCAGGGACAGAATGATATGACAACATGGGAAACTGTTGAACCCCACTCCCTTTCTATTTGCCATTCCTCTGATTTATTAGCCTGCTGCTCATTCGAATGGAATTTCTGTGCAAGAGGGAAAGAAATTGATGGATTTTCTTAAAGGTGTCATATGATGCTACATGCACTTTTACAAGTTGTTTGAAATGAAATGTGTGTTGGCAGTGTGTGTACACA